GCAGGCGGCCGGCGAGGAGAGGCGGGGGCAGGGAGGCTGAGCTGCCAGGCCCCTGTTCTCTATGGCAGCGGTTATCAGGCTTTTTGTGCTGGTGACCCCATTTGGACTTAAAAAAAAGTGACCCCCCCCCCCCCCTGGAGCCGCCTCGGGCTCCAGGCTTCAGCCCCCCTCAGGGTGTGGGGCTCTGGGCTCCAGCCCTGCTCGGGGCTCCAGCCCTGCCCCTCCCCAGCTGCCCACAGAGCTGTGGGCTGCAGCTTCAGCACCTTCTTCCCACCTCCTCCCGCGCCAGAACTCTGGGCTGGGGCTTTAGCCCCATGCTCCCCCCCCACCCAGGTATCCCTCCCCGCCCAGAGGGATGCGATTAATTGACCAAAAAAAGTTAACGCCTGCAATTAATTGAAAACAAAATTAACTGTGCTTAACTGACAGCCCTAGAAGGACTATATCACAGGTAGAAAATGAAGGACTAGAAGAACCACTGGAAGGGAGATGTATTTACAGAAAGCAATATAACCCCCGGAACGCCGGCTCGTTCGTCCCAAGAGCACTGTTACTAGTTAAACCGAGAGCAAGAAGCCATCATAGAAAGGAAGATTTATGAACAATTAGCCAAGGAGAATCTAGGTTGAATATCAGCAGGAACTTCCTAACGGTGAGCTGTAATGGGCCGTGGAACAGAGTCCCAAGGACAAGGGAAAGACACTCCATTGCGGGAGACATTTAAAACTACAGCAGTCGGAGTACGAGCAGCACAGGTAACAATGCTGCCCTGGCCCGTGGAGATGGACGAGAGCAGGGGTGTCAAACGCACTGAGGGGAGATGGTGGAATTCTAGGGTAATTATGGTGCCTGGGACTGGAGCATCATTGCAGGTGTATATATTCCCCCCAGCACACCCTGCACACCCACTGGTGTCTGATGTGGTTTGCACAGACATTGAGGGGACAGTACAGCCTGTTTGTAGCGACTGAACATTTATTTACTGTTAGCACAGGTGACGACTGCTGCAGTCGTCATCGGGGAGAAAAGTCTGTTCCCCTTGTGGCCACTGTTGTTCCTGTCCTTTGTTTCTCTCCTTTCTGTTTCGCTCCTTCTCCCTGCTCTCTCAGTCTCCTCTGTCCTGTCCTCTGCATTCCCCCCCTCCCCCCCGCAGCAGCTCCCACCCTACCCACTAGAATGATCAGTGATTAATGAGTTCATGTCGACACTGATTCTCAGAGACTTTAAAGCCAGAAGGGACCATCGTGGTCATCTTCTAGGCTGACCACAGAACCTCATCCACCCACTGCTGCAATAGACTCATACCCTCTGGCTGTTACTGAAGTCCTCAAATCATGATAAAAAGACTCCAAGTTATGGAGAATCCACCATTTACCCTAGTTTAAACCAGCAAGTGACCTTGGCCCCATACTGCAAGGGAAGGTGAAACCCCCCCAGGGTCTCTGCCAATCTGATCTAGGGGAAAATTCCTTCCCGACCCCAAATATGGTGATCAGTTAGACCTTGAGCATATGAGCAAGATCCACCAGCGAGACATCTGGGAAAGGTTTCTCTGTAGTAACTCAGAGCCCTCCCCATCCAGTGTCCCATCTCCGGCCGTTGGAGATATTTGCTACTAGCAGTTGCACATTAGCTATATGCCAGTGTAGGCAGTGTCATCACACCACCCCTCCAAACTTAGCAAGCTCAGTCTTGAAGCCAGCTAGGTTTTTTTGCCCCCATGGCTCCTCTTGGGATGCTGCTCCAGCCTAAACTTGTTGATGGCCAGTTTATAGCAATTTGTTCTTGTGTTCACATTGGTGCTTAATTTAAAGAACTCCGCTCCCTCCCTGGTATTTATCCCTCTGATGTATTTATAGAGGGCAATCATATCTCCCCTCAGCCTTCTTTTGGTTAGGCTAAACAAGCCAAGCTCTTTGAGTCTCCTCTCATAAGGCAGGTTTTCCATTCCTTGGATCATCCTAGTAGCCCTTCTCTGCACCTGTTCCAGCTTGAATTCATCTTTCTTAAACATGGGAAGCCCAGAACTGCACTCTTAAAGTTGATGTGTCACTTAAAGTT